GTCGTTTGTTTCTCATCCTGATCACCTTTAGACGGAAACGTGATGCAAACGTTTCTCTTTGGTACGTCGTACCTTCTGGTTTTAGATTCTATACTAATGCGACGAACTTCCGAGGATTTCCGTTGTTCTGCACAGGATATTAGCTCAAGTTTTTTGTGGAACTAATGCTGGTTCCTCCAGGTCTAAATCCCACCTTTTACAGCACACCGAAATTCACATCAACCTGAAGCAAGTACCCCGGATGTTAGGCTGTCACGACTCACTGAGAAGCGTGAGATGGCTTTTTGCTCAATGCGTCTTGAGTAAAATTGAGTGTTAGTTCTTTTGTGTAACAGCGAAACACTTTTATTATTTCACCTAATTACCAGGACCAACAGAGCATGCCAGTGACTGCGGCTGGATTCCAATTTCCCAATTAAATCCAGAGGAAAAACGAGACACAAACACGTCCTAGAACTAACATGCGCAAAAGGAAACCACAGCAAATTAGTGCGGAAATCATGGGAATGTGAACGAACTAAACTCACCGGAAATTGTAACCCGCATATTCAAAGTCAATAGGTAGCAGGTCGTAGTATCCGTCCTCTTCGGGATTGTTTAATACAAGTATATTGTCTGTGTGAAGAAAATGCGTACGGACAACGAAAATCGGAAATGTTGAAGCCGAACCACGAAAACCTTCGAATTCGAAAGAAGCAAAGGAATGTGACTGGACTCACTTTCTTGGAAATCATTATGACAAAACACCACTGGGAAGGCATCATCACGGCGATCAATCAGGTTCTGTCTGCAAAGATTAGAAGAACGATTAGTTTGATTACTGTGATTACACCATAGTGTTATGGATAGCAGACGGGCTATACCCTACGGTTATGAGGACCTACAAGTCACTGACGGCAACTTGGAATGGTAAACCACACAACGTTCCAATAGAATAGGTGAGACATCGAGTCATAATAATGATACTCCACAAATACTATATGCAACCTAAAACTGATGACAAAGAATACAGGAATTCGGGCAAGAAAAACTATATTCGTTTGAATACGAACGATTAGGTTTTAGATTGACGTTCTTTACTACTCGCTAAAAAAGATAAAGCGGCACTTTACACAGTACGTAAACACCCGCATTGGGAGCCCAATGGGAGAAAAGTTACTTGCAACGTGTTACACCTCACACAAATAATTGTGGCCTTTTGGAAGCGGAAAACCCGTGAAAGCCCTGAAAATCACCACTGGACTTCCACAACTGTTTCGGATATGAAACAATCTCCCAATTTCGAGTCTGTCCGTGAATTAAAGTTGTATGAGTTAGTGTCAGTTTAAACAACCATTAGGCATGCATTTCCGTGCGACACTTGGTTGCTGTCTTTTAGCCGCCCATTTGGATGAAGAATAGGAGGAAAACAAGAAGGTTGAAAGTAAGATCGGTGAGAAATTTGAAAAGTTCAGTGGACTGATAATGCAGAGAAATTGAGAAGATGCAAGAACGCCACCGTTTACGACACCCAGCCATATCACTCAGTATCTCTAACCATCGGTTACAACCATCCCGAGTTACCCAGCCAGGGAGCCTAACGGGACCTATGTGACCCAGTTAGTACCACTCCTTGTTCCTTGTGGACTTGCTACAATGCGCATTATTGCGTGGTTATATGAACCACTGTGTACTGCATACGACAATTGTTAATTTGTTTCATAATACGCACTTGCTACAAATATGTGTATCGTTGCTTGCCTGCTTGTTTCATTGCGCTCTCTTGTATGTACGCTTATAAACACAACCTTGGAAAATACAGACGCTATTTGAGCCTCAATTACAAGTGAGCAACTGTCACGAGAAACGCAATGCATGTAGTTCATCGGAAACGGATACCACAAAATAGTTTCGCAAGCAGAATCACCTTGAAAACCACTCAAGGAAAAGCCTTTGACATTTACACCATTGTATTGTAACATTAATTTTACATGTATTTGAAAGTAGAATCTCATTGTGTCGTGACTGTCGGAAAATGCAGGTCGGTAAAGTACAAAAATACGACCGAAAGATAGAAAATCATCACCATCATCTTAGAGCAAAATACAGTGGGCGAACTTCACCAGCCACAGCAAAGCTCACAATGTGTGCAAATTGAATAAGAAAGGGCGTGTATATGGAATGGAAGAAACCTGAGAGATGAGGAAACAAAAAGAATCATTACGGTCAACATACAGAGTGCATAGACTAGCAACACAGATAAAAGCACTCCGGCTCGATAAGAAATAGCAAGAAAGTTGGTGTCATCGATTTGATGCCATGCACTTCAGTTTCCAATAAACGAGGTACAATAGACTATGGATAACAGACAACGAATATCTTCATAATTTCCTCTACACTTGGATTTTGTATGATTTTCTCCAGACTGGAATCACAAATGCAAACAGAGCACGGTGCGACAAACGACCGTCAGGTATGCACAACACTCGTCCCGAAAACTAAACCTACTCAGGTGAATTCTTTTTCTTTTCTTTTCATTTTACTTCTTTTTATTGAACATATAAACATACAATTTTCAGAAAGGGGGAGGCGATCAATCAAAAGGCTGCCATTCAAGGTACAATAAGGAAATTTGGGCGGTAGTGGTGTGATTCGAACGCACATTCCTGGGGTGGTACTTTGGTGCCGTTACCACCGGGTCATCACCACCCGTCGTAATAATGGATTTGCCGCCAGAACATTCAAATAAACGGGGGTTTACCTGGGTTTTAGTAACCCATTTGCTCCATACCATGGTTGAAAACCTACAGTCGATCTATATCTCCCTCATGAAAACCCTAGATCTCGCAACCAACAAGCAGAACTAACCGCACCGTGATAACATACAGTTTCAGGTTAGACGACTATTGACCATGCACTTTCGAGCAGTGGTTTTGGTTACCCATTTAGATGAAGAGTAGACAGAAGATTGAAAACCTCAAAGCAGTATCAAAGTGGAAACATAAAATTATTGTAGACTAAGGTTGTAAGGACATTGAGTGGATGTACAAGTGCCACCATTTACGAAAGTCACTTCACCTGGTGTTTCTAACCGTCGGTTACATCGACCCCGGGATTAGCATCCAGATACAGATATTAAAATGAAGCAGAAACGACCCTTCAATTACAATATCACATCAATGACAAGTGTTTTTATTCTGTCATATGCCATTTGGACCCTGGGTATGCATGCAATCACTTAAAAGAGATCCCTTGTGTGATTCCGATGTTTTTTATTATTTTAAAATCACCTTCAACATAATTCTACATAATTGGTCGAACCATATTCTGGGATTGGTTTCACGATCATTTTATATAAAGAAATCTCTGGCATACATACCAGAGTTATTGTAACAAAAAAAGACAGAGTTCATCTTCCCAGTACCTTTACGAACGAAACGCAGTGCACGCTAAACTTGTATCTCACAACCTAACCTTCTTTATATGCATACCGAAAGGTCCAATTGGAAATTTCAATTTTATTACCGCTGGGTTCATACTAACCAACAATTTAAGTGATAATATGTAATTTCCGATTACTTTGACCCCTTAAAATATCACTATTTCGGAGTATCGGAAATACTGACGCACCGATATATATATATATATATATATATATATATATGTGTGTGTGTGTGTGTCGTACAGTACCTGATACGAACTCGGTGGTAGTTGATATTGGATTTGGCTTTACTGTAATGGAACCATCGTTAGCGGATTTTACAGAAAATAGTGGCTGAACTAACCGGAAAGCAGATAGTTTGATATACCAAGGGTTGCCGAAGTCACATGGATACCACTGAGTGTACCACATTGGAACAAAAATTCCAATCAGAAACGGTGAATCACTACTACACTTCGATAGTCGTGAAATCGCACAAGNCGCACAAGTCGATGATTAACACACAATGGATTTTAATTTTTTAGGTCTGAATTGTATCAGTATTGGCAATCAACAGAAGTTACCGATGTTAAGCATTATGAATAAACCCTGATTTGAAGTAATATAAGAGTTTACTGTCCTTGTTATTAATTATTTATTATTAACCGCTCAGGAAGAAAGCGATTGCCATGGAAAACTGGTTTAGAGAAACCGTATTGTATGCCAACAACAACCGGAGTGATGATAGCGGATTAACATGAAAGACATGCAAATATGCAGCGCGTACTGCAGTAAATTAGGCAGACTCCGGTAAATACAACAAAAATCGATTTGAGGTGCACACAAGCAACTAGAGAAAAAATAGTAAAAATCTCCACCAGATGAAGGTTACCGAAATTTCCGGCACACAAGGCAATCCGATGATCAAAAATTGGTCAGCAGAATATCACACACAACGTTAGCTGGATCAAGAGCTACTTACCTAAGTGTGAATACTGGTGTTAGCGAAAAACGGCACTGTTTACCAATTGTGTGTATATTTTGATAGAGAAAGGAGCAAGCAAGCGATCTTTTCCTCATTATACTTGCTCGAGTAACTAATGTTATATCTCCTGCCACTATTGGAACTAACTAGCAGAAATAAGTTCAGTTTCAGTTCTTACAACCATTAACCATGCACTTTCGTGCGCCGGTTTTGCTTGCTGTCTTTTGGTGTCCCATTTGGATAAAACAGCAGAATGAAGATTGGAATGTTGGAAGCAAATTCAAGCGGAAGATGGAGAATTCACATAGAATAGTGATAGGGGAATAATGAGTGGATGCACGAGCGCCAGAAATAAGAGTATTAAACAGTGGACAGGGGATTGGTAATCATCGAGATAGACTTGACGATTATGAAAATCGGTAACCACAGGAGTAGAGCGTGGAACGGCAATAAACAATGGGTCGTCAGAATCACTCCAATCACCGTACATTTTGAGCGCCCAAGCCTCAAGACAGAAGATCGTACAAAATCGGACCTCTTAAAACCTTCTGACTAACTTCTACTCTTGGGTCAACTTGATCAAGGTCGCATAGACTGTATGCATGCACTGTAAACTCACAATTTGAGTGCATTGTAGTCGCTAATCAATGCGATAATACATTTTCCTCGTTTGGGCCCTTCCATTGGGAGCAACATTTCAGTATCTAACAAAAAATAATCCGATGAGAGTTGCACGTACTTTAGCCAGTCATATTCTTCGTAAATTTTGAATTCGACGGCCAGTCTTTGCGCGTATTCGAAGCCGCATTCGCTCCACGTGCTATCCAGTTCCCTGTCACTCAGATATTCTTGTTCTAACGCTTGTAACGACGGCATCGATATATTCGGCAACGGTCGGGTAGGTGGATCCATTTTTCCTGATAGTTGGGCAAGAAATTTATCCATCATTTTGAATATAAACCGTGGCTGTTTGCAAAAAGGCATGTTTAGATTGTGAATTCGGGCCAATTGTTGTGCCACAGCTTTCATAGCGGCAGGTTTTCCCAACTCGGACGTTACCATCGATCGAGACTTGGATGGTGTAAAACGGAGCACACGAAACAGAACAATTAGTATGGTGTTTTGGAAAGGATTAAGCCGTGCAAATCAAATGAAAATGTGGACATAAAATCAATCTTGATTGGCATCCCTTGTTCAAGTGAAACCATTCTTATCGTTTATTTATATTGTCAAGTACTTTATATTCGAAATAAGATGTCTGTGTGAAGCAGATAAACAACTGACTTTTTTATTTTAGGAGTACAGAAAGTTTGATTTTCATAAATTCTGATTACGGTCGTGGGTTAAATATAACACAAACCCAAAGCAAATGGAAAGAACTAGAAAGTAGTTGTGATTTAGTTGTAAAGCACTGGCAAACGGCAAGAACCGTGGGTCAAGATGCCACAGCACGTGTCAACCTATGGAAGTGATCTAGAAATAAAACCATCAGGTTTAGGAACGATTTATAGTTGCTTCATCACAGAAAGCTGCGCTCAGAACTAACTCACTTGGATAAACTCTTCAATACGACCACCAGGAAATACACCATGGAGAGCAGGACCCATTCTCTTCTCTGAGAGAATGGCGAAATTGATGGAATCCAGTACAATAGAGTCCATACTGCTACGCAATACTTCACCATAAACCCGAATGAGTACCTTACGGGGCTCATCCGGCCGAATAGGGACGTGATCTTTCAGTTGTGCCATAAAAAGATAGTTACTCAGACCGCAAGTGCTAAACAGAAAGGAATGAAACGATGCGGGAAACAAATAATGTAACTTGAGGCAGCATTGGTGAGCGATGAGAATAACGAAAACCCCCATGATTCGTAAATGGAAGGCAAAGTGAAAGACAAAGCGAAATGAACATAAGAAACATGGACATGATTTCATGATTTCGATGCCGGGCGTCAACTGGAAAATTTGTGAATTCACTATCCGAGGTCACCGATTTCCAGTAACTATATCGAAAACTGACAACTAGCGAAAGGCGAAAGACTTCTACCTCAATCCTCAATTTTAATATCAACCAGACGATCTACTGGGTAGTGTTTCACAAATTCAAAATTTCAAGATCATGTTGCTGACCATACATGACGCAACTGAGGTCTTATCGACTATGGTCTCTTTAAATGATACATAATAAAGGAAAACCGTCACGACGAGACTACACCTCGGCGTGGTGTGATGGCTTGCGCGCCTCAATGACCCTGCGAGCTATACGGGATGGCTCCTCATCCGCAGATCTAATCATGCTTGAAAGGTCAACGGGTAGAGGCCAAACAAAGATCAGTCTAACAAAGCAAGCTGCTTGGGCACCTCCTGGTTTCCTTTTCTATCCAC